ATGGACTGGGTGGAGGCCGAGGCCGCCTGAGAGCAGCCCACAGTCAGGAGGTGGTCCCAGGTGTGGGCTTTTTCCATCCTTCGGTTCCTGGCCAGCTGAGCCCCGGCTTCCAGGAAGGAAGGGAGGGGAGGGCAGAGCCCTGGCCTCAGAGCTCAGGAAGGAGGCGGCCTGCGGCCTCTCCTCCACCGTGTCCCGCGGGAAGCCAAGCCCAGGCTGGCTGAATCTGGGCTCTGTGTCCACGACGGGTGGGTCCCCGGCCCGCACACAGACTCTCTTGTTGCATCTGAAGGAGAACATTCTCCCCCTGGATGAGCTGGGGTGTGAGGAGACTGGAGCCACCCATTTCTTCCCGGTGTTTTCTTTTTGGGGGGATAGAGGTGCACCCTGTGTTTACTTTGACAGCTGATACATAAACAGGCTCACAGAGATGATCCTTTATGCTGAAGCGAAGACCTCACCTTTTCACAAGCTTTTGCTCACACGTGCTGAATGCAGGGCAGCAGACTTGAGGCCTAACCCGTGGACTGCGTGCTCCGAGGCCCCTCCCCACGTTACGGCAGCAGGAGTGGGGCATTTACTGGGTCATGTGACAGGAACTCCATGGGGGGTTCACTCCTCACCGGACCTCAGAGGCCGGGCAGCTGGAGGCCAGGTGAGCCGATGCCCACTCACTGTGACCCTGGGGGACACAGCAGACTGTCCCGTGGGGTTCCCTGGCTGCCATCTCAGCAGAGGCAGACTGCCTCATCTTCCTCCTGTGGGACAACTGGTGGGTTTGAACTGGTCACCTTTGGGTTAACATCCAAGAACTTTAACAACAGAGCCACCAGCGCTCCCTCTACACTACATGATACCACACACTAGTGCGCTAATAACTTAAAATGCACTTTAGCTAGTTCTCAAATCATCTTATTGCCAACCTGGAGTATTGAACGGGGAGCGGCATCCACTTTCTAAACAACTTGCCTCTGGAAACTCTGTGAACTTTGATAAATGTCGAGAGTTGTTGGGTTTCAGGACTTCTGTTCAGAGGGTCACTATGACTCGTGCTTGACTCGAAGGCAATCAACAACACAATAATAACAAACATCAATATCTTAAGAAGAATTTGCAACCCCTGTGGAAAGCAGTATGGCGTTTTCTCAAAAAGTTGCAAATAGAGATACCATTTGACCCAGCAATTCCACTACTGGGAATATACCCTGAAGAGACCATAGCTGACATCCAAGCAGATATATGCACACCCATGTTTATTGCAGCTTTGTTCACAATAGCAAGGAGTTGGAAACAACCTAAGTGCCCATCAACAAACGAATGGCTAGAGAAGCTGTGGTATATTCGCACAATGGAATACTATGCTGCATTAAAAAACAAGGAACTCATGCAATATTATTCAAAATGGTTGACTCTGGAGAACATTATGCTGAGCGAAATATCCCAGTCACAAAAGGACAAATATTACATGATGCCACTGTTGTAGAATGGGACTAACCTCGGGGTTGGGGAGAGACTGAGTAAGATGGTTCAATAATGTATACTGCACTGAAACAGAGGAGGGAGAAAACTGTTTAAAAGAGATATATAACTAGGTATTTCTGTCATCACAGGAGTCTAGAGCGAGGGCTACATGGTGGAGGGGACCTGGGGGAGGGTTTGTAAAACAATGAAAGAATCTTTTCTTTTACTTTTCCATAATTTTTGACTCATGTACTTATAACTTGTTAGTCAAATTTGTGTCTTCTAGGTTGCAACACCCCCATGATACATCTTCAAGGATATGAACATGTACGGCCAAGCACAATCAGTAAGAGTGCATCTAAATTCCCAAATCAATCTCCATAATAGTCTATGTGTTTCCTACTGCCAAAGGGGCCCTTTAGAGTAGTGAGAGAAGATCTTCACCCTGAAACCCACAGCGTCCCTTTTCAGCAGGAAGTAGCTAAGAGAATACGCCATCCCCTTTTCCTTATGACTCAGGGTGAAGTCTCTCTCAGGGAGGAGTGATAGGGAATGGCAAAGGACACACTGACAAAGAAGATTAATCAGAACTGGCTTTGACAAGCACTGTGGCATTTAGACAAGAACAAACTGGGAGGAGGGTAGAGAGAATAGTGCAACAATGAATGAATGGAAACCCAAAATCTCTGTAAATGTTTATGAAAATTAATAAAATATAGGGAAAAAAAAGAAAGTCAAAATTACAAAAAATTCACTCCTTAAATGCAAGTTCCTTGAAACTTTAGAAAACAGGGCCATTAGTTGATTTCAATCGTGGGTTAAGTGTTGGGCTGCTGACTGACAGGTCAGTAGTTCGGATTCCCCCCACCTCCCACCATTACTTGAGAGGAGACCGAGGCAGTCAGTCCTTTTGGAAACTTTGGGGGCAGTTCTACTGTGTCCTGCAGGGCTGCCAGACACTGGATGGACTCAATGACGTGGGGTTGGTTTTCTGGGGTAACATTTACAGTGGACAGCCAGGCCGTTCTACTTGCACAGCTGATGAGTGGGTCCCAAGCAGGGATCTTTCAGTTAGCTGCTGACCACTGTTAGCCAGTGACCACTGTTCCCTCAGGACTTCAGGCTAATGCAACGCAGACCTGCCTGGAAGAAGTAACCTGCCTGCCTACCCGCTGGAGGTGGCAAATGCTTTCAAGGTGTGTGGACAACACCCACCCCCGAGTCCTGTTCCTGGGCCCTGAGGCATCCTGAGCCTCATACATGCTGACGGCCCCTTGACGGCCCCTTGAGCTGTGTCCGCACCTCCAGCAGCGTGCAGTCCAGCCTGGCTCGCTTCTTGTACATTCTCTGTGCCTGTCGTTGGGTGCCAAGGAATCTATTCTCACCCACTGCGACCATAAGACTGAGCAGAGCTGCTTCAGAGGGCTCTCCAGGCTGGATGCTGTAAGATGGACAGCCATGCTTTTATTCTGCAGGGTCACTGGGTGAATTTGAACTTCCAACCTCTGGGTTTCCAGCAGAGTGCTTAGTGCTGCACCACAAGGGCTCTGAGTCTTTGCCAAAGATTTGAATTTAATTTAGTTTACACTTGTGTGATAACTCCATCAAGGGTAAGGACTACTGCTTTCAAACACTTAGACCTTGCAAATAGTTGTAGAATTCCTGAAAATCAAAGGATCGTCCTGAACTGGACCCACAGCTCTGAGTCAGATGCAAACAGCAGCTCACTCCAAACCAGACTCAGGGGCACAGGGAGGGCAGTGATCGCTCCAGAGTCACCGGGCAGGGCCCTCACGGGGTCAGTGGGTCAGGGTCCTCATGGGGTCACTGTCTTCACAAGGTCACCGAGCAGGTTCCTCAGGGGGTCACTAGGCCAGTGGCTTCACAGGGTCACCAGGCAGAGTCGTCACGGGGTCACCGGGTCAGGGTCCTCACGGGGTCACCGGGTCAGGGTCCTCACGGGGTCACTGGGTCAGGGTCCTCACGGGGTCACTGGGTCAGGGTCCTCACGGGGTCACTGGCCACAGTCCTCACGGGGTCACTGGGTCAGGGTCCTCGTGGGGCCACCGGGCAGGCACCTCACAGGGCCACTGGGACACGATAAAGCCAAGCAGCACATGGGCACATCTTGGAAATAGTGTCTAAATGCAGGATTCAAGCCTCAAGAACTCTCCTGTCCGACCTATAGAACTGGGAGTCGACAGCGTTCAGTGTGAGTCATTTTCCTAAAGGAAAGTTCTCTCTATACACACCTCACTGGCTCTGATCCGTTCGACAGCCAAGACACGACAGAGCAGAAGGGCCCAGGAGGTGCTTCAGGCCACAGGCATGGAGGAGACCGGGATGCGCTGGGCTGTGACCCGAAAGGCTGGTGAGCTGAATCCAGCCGCTGCTCCCCGGGGAAAGACGAAGCCGCGGGGCCTCGGGACCTGGTGGACGGTTGGTGGAGTCAGACGCCGCTTGACGGCAGAATATTTGCTTGCATTTTTGTTTATCTTGACGGGAGCAGACTTCCCAGTCTTTTCTCCCCAGGAGGGCTGGAGGGTTCAAAACCCCAAGTATTCAGTTGGCAGCCAACTACTTAACCACTGTGCCACCAGGGCTCCTTAAGTACACGGTGTTGTTGATGTTGGTAGGTACTGCACGTTGACTGCCACTCTTAGTGAGCTCTGAACCCTGCCCTGTCCTGTGCCCTGCTCCTCAGCTCGAAGCCGTTGCTGCAGCACCGTGCCGTTCTGAAGGTCGTTCGCTGGCCCTCTGCCTGTCCAAGCTTCATGTCCCTTTCCAAGGAACAGCCTCTCCCATCAACGTGTCCAGAGTACATGAAGGAAGCTTTGCCATCCTCTAAGGCACCCTCTGGCTTCACTTCCTCTAAGACAGATCTGTTTGTTCTTTTGATAATTTATAAAATAAGTATATAGTAGATACTGGGGAAATGTTGAATGGAAGCACGAATCCATGCTAGTGCAGGAAGCTGTGCGTTATTTGGACTGTTTATTCTGTTAAGCAGACTTCGTGGTACAGAGCACAATGTCCTGGGCTGCTAACTGAAAGGTTGGCAGTTCCAGTCAACTCATGTGTTCAACAGCAGCGAGAGGGGTGTTCTGCTTCTGTTTACAGCCTAAGAAATTGACGGAGGGCGAGTTGCTACCGGCAGGAACGGGCTTGACGGAGTGGGTGTATTCTGTAATCTCAGTGACTGTTTAGTGACATTTAAATTCTTTCCCTACAGCTTTTTCAATTGTGGCACAGATTTAAGAAACAAACCAATCAAGGGCCTCCATATGTCACTCCAGTTCTTACCAGTTCAAGTCATCAGATCCAATTGTACATTTAATAGAAGGTGAAGCTGTCACTACAATGGCTCAGATACAGTTGCTCAGACACACCCCAGAGTGGGGGTAGGACACACCACAACACAGCAACAGGCACCAGCCAGTGTTTGCATTTTTGAAATCAGGAAAAACCAGTCTATCTATACATATACGACTTACTGAAGAAACAGCAAAAGAAAGAAAACCAGCATATAACATTTCACGTACCTGATCAAATTGAGGGTCTTCTCCACGTTGTAGAGATTTTGTCAGAGGCTTCTCCTAGATAGAAAGAGACACACAGAAAGCAGTTAGCAGAAGGGGTGATGCTTTAGCACCTAAATGCTGCAGCTGGGACCCTCCCATCCAGGGAGGAAGCCGTGCTGGTCCTGAGATGAGCGAGGCCCTTGGCCTTGGCTCTGCCGAGTTCACACGTGGTGTTCACTCACTCGTTACGTCCTGATTCTTAAGGAGCCCTGGTGACAGAGCGTGTTATTTGTCAGGCTGCTTACTGAAAGGTCAGCAGTTCTACTCCAGGAGCCCCTCCTCAGGAGGCAGGTGAGGCAGCCTCCTTCCACGAAGACTGGCAGTCTCGGGAGGGGACGGAGGGTCGCCATGACCTAGGACTGACTTGGTGGCTGGAGGTTTTCAGTTCCCCACAATCTTTGCCCTTTGTCTTACCTCAGACCAAAACTCCGCTGTTCTAAGTCGTCCCGTGTTTCCAACCCCGTTCCACTGCTGTGGAGTCACTTCTGATCCACAGAGACCCTCAGTGGGGTTCCAGGGATGTAAACCATAATGGGAGAAGATGGCCCATCTTTCTCCCATGGAGCAGCTGATGGATTCAAACTGCCAGCTCTCTGGTTTGCAGTGCACCCAACAATGACAAGTCAATATTTTTTCTTCAAACAGATAATGTAGAACATATTGGTATATGAGTTTGATAAAAAAAAAGTTGTTGAGAATAAAGAACACTAAAAGAAGAAACAAATGTAGTTGGCTGTAGACTACAAATGCAGAGTCAAGTCAGTTAGACTGAGGGCCCCGTAAGAATGGAAAGTTAAGAAACGAGGATGGATTATCCGAGAAAGTAAGTGCATGGACACAGCAGAAACACTAACAAAGCAAAGGGCCACAGACGCCAAGCAGACAGAAGGAAGTGTGTGTCACAGTGGAAGGGAACCGGCAGGGCAATGAAGGAGACGCGCTTCAGGGCCAGCAGCAGTGGAGCTTAGGTGGGTCACCCACGTGCAAGGTTATGTCTGCTCTGAGCTCCCTGCCACCATCACCGACACCTGTCCCCTCCCAGGCTACCGATACGCCTCTTCTCGGCAGGTCTGTTGGAAGGACAGTGTTCCTTCCTAATCCACAGGAGGCAAGGATGGTCGAATCCAACTCTTGCTACAGTCACCCGCCAAGAGACTGTACCGAACACGAGCAGTTACTGCATGGTTATCAGGTTCTGTCGAGACATGGAGAACTCACAGCAACCCAATGAGTGATAGACCCGAGTCCTGTCCTGTCCTGTGTCACCGCATCAGCTCTGACACACAGAGTGCATGGCTGCAGTGACCCTGTCAACGACAGATCTGAGTCCTGTCCTGTCCTGTCCTGTGTCACCGCATCAGCTCTGACACACAGAGTGCATGGCTGCAGTGACCCTGTCAACGACAGACCTGAGTCCTGTCCTGTCCTGTGTCACCGCATCAACTCTGACACACAGAGGGCATGGCTGCAGTGACCCTGTGGATGACAGACTCGAGTCCTGTCCTGTCCTGTGCCACCGCATCAGCTCGGACACACAGAGGGCATGGCTGCAGTGACCCTGTCAATGACAGACCTGAGTCCTGTCCTGTCCTGTCCTGTCCTGTGTCACCGCATCAGCTCGGACACACAGAGCGCATGGCTGCAGTGACCCTGTCAACGATAGACCTGAGTCCTGTCCTGTGTCACCGCATCAGCTCTGACACACTGAGCACGTGGCTGCAGTGACCCTGTCAACGACAGACCCGAGTCCTGTCCTGTCCTGTGCCACCGCATCAGCTCGGACACACAGAGTGCATGGCTGCAGTGACCCTGTCAACGACAGGCTCGAGTCCTGTCCTGTCCTGTGCCACCGCATCAGCTCGGACACACAGAGGGCATGGCTGCAGTTACTGCACCAGTACATCCTGTGGACAGTGTAGGGACAGATGCTATTAGAAGTTAGGTGTGGTGTCCACATCGTGAGAATCGTCTTGGGCATCCACGTCTGCTGACCCAGCAGCTCCGGCCAGGAGGGCTAGCCATGTTCTCCTCCGTGATACACGCCATCTGGCAAACGCCAGCAAATGCCAGGCCCAGATGACGCACAGACTTGAGGGGCTCACGCAGGCCAACCATTTCAACAGGTTCAACCAAATGACGTTTTACCTGAGTATCATTCACATGTAGAATTATGTCCTAAGTTTTGTAAACAAGATTATTTACAACTTAAAACTTAAAATACATGTGACACACAGGTGGCCCTAAATTAGAATTCATTTACAATAACACCAGCGTAGTAATGATGCAATACTAACGTAACAATGCCCCCAAATACTGGAAAGGCTCATCTTTATCTAACATGAAAAGTTTAAAGTTTCTTTTTTTTTATTGCCTATTCAGACAAGAATGGTAAGACTTGGCCTCACAGACTTTGGGTATGTTGCTGGGAGGGGCTATTCTTGGGAATGTGGAGGGTTAACAAAGGAGAGGAAGACCCTCAATTAAGGTACAGTGACTGCTGCACAGGCTCTGGTGTGTCAGGAAGTGTGAGGATGGTGCAGGACAGAACAGGGTTCAGAGCTTTTGTTCAGAGGGTCACTACAAGTTGTACTCAAATCAACGGCGCCTGTCTAGCTATTGAGACAGAAATAGTGCTGGATATTATTCTACGTATGCTAGTAAAAGTTAGGCATAAGAAGAGAATAGAAAATACAGTATTTCTTTATCATGTAAAATACACTTCTATTTCTCAACAATGAGGTATTTCTAAACCTGTTTCTGAAGAAAGCCACAAAGGGTGTTGATCAGAACACGGCATCTGTGCATTACCCGAAATTGTGTCTCTGTGAAGAACTGAACGCCTTGCGGACGAAACAGAATGACTGTTTATATAGTTATACAGATGCCTTTCATGTTACATTTCCTTTTAGACTTGAATTCTTCTAAGAAACTGGGACTGTTCTAATTCACACAACAATCTACTTGTGGCTAAGGGGTGCCAGTACTGCATGAACTATGCACTTCTCTCCAAATATAACAGTTGAACAAGAAACAACGTGAGCATGTTAGAAATTCTGTGCAGTGACAGCGCTGGTCTCCCTTTCTCTCCAGACCTCTGACCGCACATTCTGTTCTCGTGGCAGCAGAGATGGGGTGACGTGATGAAAGAGTGTCCCCCCCACCCCTGTGACCTGGGAGCCCTCACCTCCAGCTTACACACACACTGGTGTCTCAATCACGCTCTTTACCACCACTCTTCCCTCCTGCAGGAGCTCTGGTGGCCTCGTGCTAAGAAGCTGTGCTGCAGTTCCAAAGGCACACGGTTTGAATCCATGAGTTGCTCTGTGGGGAAAAGGTGGGCAATCTCCTCCCGTGTGATTTACTGTCTGAAAACCCGCTGCAGGTTGACTGCGGGTTGGGTCTGACTCGATGGCACACAACAGCTCCCCACACGAGGTATCAGAGCCCTCGCAGGAGTCTGAGGACGCGTGCTGAGCGCGTGCATGTCCCTAGCTATTATTTCAGGGTGAAAACCACTTGTGAGCATCGGAACACCTGCTGAGAATTGTCAGGCATCGCATGAAACTCGATGAGGGAGCTCCGGGGGTGAAGGCCACGCGAGGGTGTCACGACTCACAGAATACTTGTCTCCAGCAGTCTGAGCCCACCAGCAGTGCTGAGGGAGGCCTCCTCCTGGAGAGATGTCCACCCTCGCCAACTCCATGGGGGGGGGAGCGCCTCTGTGAGCTGCCACCTACTTGATGGCAACGGGCTTGGGTTCTGGGCTAAGTCCTGAACTTTGGTGGTGCAGCGTGTCATGCCAAAGTGATGGTCTAAAGGTCAGTGGTTCAAATTCACCAGCCACTCTGCGAAGAAAGATGACTAACCCCTTCCTGTCAGGATTCACAGCTGCAGAGAGCGTGTACGGAGTGGCCACGAGGCAGAAGTGACTTGATAGAACAAAGCTTTTTTGACGTAAGAACTATTTGATTACTACAGATCTAACAAACAAAACTGCATGTTCCAAATTAGGGAGGGTTGTTTTTTTTTCTAACTTTCAAATAAAAATTTTTGTACTAATATCTAAATTTTAATGTAAGTTTTATTTTCATAATTTTGTTTTAGACACCTTATTTCTTCTTTTCTTTTAATTTTTTTTTAATGTGTACCGTCAAATCAGATCCGACTGGTACAGGAGGAGTTTGCCTTCCTTCTCCAGCAGAGCATCTGGTATTCAATATTTCTTCTTTTCAATTACTCAAATTTATGTGCTACCGTAAAATGAAAATTTAAAAGGTGAAATGATTTAACATCCAGGTACAATGAGTCAGTAACGAGCTGCTGTGCAAATGTGTAAATTTGCTGAAGATTTAAAAAAAAAAAAACACAACAAAAAACGGATTTGTGAATCACTAAACAATTAACTTCCCTTTTACAGCACGATGAATCGGGGAGATATCTTCCACTCAAAGCACCTGATTAATGGGTACGCATTATTGTGCGAGTATCACTATTGCGGAAATTACTAATAGCAACACAAGCTAGGATTTGGAACAAATTCTGCATCTAGTCCTTGGTGTAATAAAAAAAGTTAATAATTGTGTAGAAAGCCTACCTATTTTGGACTCACAAACTGCTGCATAAGCAGACTCTATAAATAACAGTAGTGCCGTGTGAACGATTCTTCTTCTAACGAGGCAAACTGTAGGACCACAAGGTGCCGAGGGTTTGTCAACATCACCGTGGGCCATTTCAAAATCTGTGTCAACTATTTCTGGATGGAATAAACAAAGTTCTGCTGCCAGAATATATTTCTAGGATGCAAAGCTAAGGGGGAAGGTGACGGGGAGAGTGGCTCTGGATGTCGCTCTGCTGCTGACAGTTCAGACCCAGGTTCTTTTGTTCTGTTATAGATGGATTCAGACGTTGGTGGAACGCACATGATTGATAAAGATGAAACAGTTTAATTAAAGAGATTGTATGGTGTCAAATATACAGCAGAGACATAGGCTTGGCTTAATTTATGAACTGAAAAC